AGTTTCAAATATTATTCCAGTTTTAGACGTGAGAAAATTGATGCCTATGAGGTTGATAACTTGCCCTAGTTCACATAACTAGAAAGTTGTAGAACTAGGATTTAAATCCAGAACTTACATATCTTACTTCACAGTCTTTTTTTTTTTTTTTTTTTTTTTTTTTTTTTGCTAACATATTGAGTGTTCTAGTTTCTATCTTTTGATAAGAGGAGTAGAAAAATCCCCATGGCAACACTTACAGTTCCTGTAAGACAAAATGAAGTAGGATTTTGGTTGTTTACATAGCACGCTGGGACCCTGAAAGGGTGTGTTTATTTTCATGGACCCAAGTAGCTTTCTGTGAGAAGAAAAATAAAATCACAAGGAAATGGATGTTTATTAAACATTTAATATGTGCCTGATAACTTTGAGTTCATTACTTTATCTGCAGTGATGAATAACAGACATTAATTATGACCATAAGAAAAGATTTATTAAGCACTTCCCCAGTGGATTATTTACTGGATATCATGGACAGGGAAGGGAATCGGGGGAGTATACTCTGCACTGAGGAATGGAGCTTTTCTTCTGTGATTTTGCTAACAGGGCCACAGGGGGATTGAACACTGAATTCTACACTGCAATCTTTATAATATTGGACCTGAACCAACTGAGCTGTTCACTGGTTTTGAGGGAAAAAACATCTAAAGATCAAAACAAGCTTCTCTCAAGATCCTGGTCAGACACCCTATAAATATTTTAATTTTGTTTTGAACTTCAGAACATCGGATATGAGTATAGGACAAAGAAAATCTTGTTCTGTTGTGGTCTTCCCTGAGAAAGTGATGGAAGTAGAATGTTTCTCTTGGGCTGTGAACGCAGCCGAGCACTTGTTTGATTCCTTTGCCTGGTGTTTTAGACCTGGTAGGTTATTTTACATGCGTGTGAAATGAGAAGCTGATAAAGGTTTGTGGATTGGTCCGGCAGGGTTCAGCTCAGGGAATGACTTTTGTGCTGACATCAGATGGCGGTGGTTTCAGGTTTATGACAGTTATCGAATATAATGATGTGGAATGAGACTAAATTGTGCTACAATAGCAATAAAAATCAATCTGAAAGGAATGAGACTTCCATCTGTTTGGCTGTTGCTCAGGAAGCTTGACTTTGGGCATCTGAGACTGGAGAGCTGACTGTGAAAGATCAAATTTTGTGATTGTCCTAAGTGAAAGATAGAGCATCCTGGATTGATGTGGTCACGTGGGAACTTGGAGAGTGACAGCTGCTTCTTAGCCAGATATTACCTGTCCTTTGCAGAGTCTACACTGATGGTTGTCTTCTTGAGATGAGAGTTCAACAAGAGGGAGGGAAGAAAAGGCTTGATCAGGCTGGACTGAAGCTGTTGATATTAAAATAGAATAGCTAGAGAGAAAAGAGAAAATTTCTTGAAAAATAGGATAGCTGTTATAAAACCAGGCTACGACAGCTCTATATTTTTGTCCAGTCAGAACTTTACTTATTTGGATATTTAGAGAATGATCTCATATTTCTTACAAGGTCTTTTTGTACAGTATTGACCCAAGAGGTGCTTTGCCTACCCAAAACAAACAAGCAAATATAAACTCATGATTAAATGAGATTGAAATTTTCTGTACAGATTGAGCATCCCAAATACAAAAATCTGAAATGCTCCAAAATCTGAAACTTTTTAAGTGCCAAAATGCTATTCAAAGGATTTTGTACTTTCATACTTGGGATGCTCAAAGTATAATGCAAGTATTCCAAAATATGAAGATAATTTAAATCTGAAACCCTTCTGGTCCCAAGTACTTTGGATAAAGGACACTGAAGTTGTATATGATGCTGCTGTGGTCTGAATGTTAGTGCCCCTACACAATTCATTTGTTGAAATTCTAATCCCTAAAGTGATAGTACTGGGAGGTGGAACATTTGGGAGGATATTAGGTAATGAGGGCAGAGCGTTCATGAATGGGGTTAGTGGTCTTATAAAAGATGCCCAGGAGAGACACTTTGACCATTCTACTGCATGAGAACACAGCAAAAAGGCTCTCTCTATGAGCCAGAAAGTGGGCTTCATCAGACATTTAATCTGCTGGTTCCTCAATCTTGGACTTCCCAGCCTCCAGAATTATGAGAAACAAATTTCTGTTGTTTTTAAGTCCCTTAGTTTATTGTATTTTGTTATAGCAGCCCAAATGAACTAAGATCTCTTCCCTTTTTAAGGTTATCCTTGTGCATAAATGTATTAGAGGCCTCAAGAAGTCTTGCATTGTATACTATGTATACAATAAGATGTATAAGAGTATCTCTGTTTAACCAGAAACTTTAAACACTTGTTAGACCATGGAGAATTTTTCCTATTACTGTCCCGTGGAGCTAGTGTTTTAGACATACATTTTTAGATGTCCATTTTTTTCTAATTACATTTGGGAAACTTCCTTATTAGCTAACCGTGCTAGAGAAGAGGTGATTTCTTGGTACATGCCGGATATGAACAGGGTTAGAAATTCCCAAGTTTTGAAATCTGACTCATTTTCAGAGTTTGGAGGATGCTACCCAATGTTCAACTGTGGCCACTAGTATAGGAGAAATATTGCCTATATTGAGATATCAGAGGCTCACTAAGCTGAGCTGGAAATAGTATTCCCAACGCAAGGGATTTCTGGTTCCAGCTCTTGCTGATTTCCACTTTTTCTTTTTTTTTTTTTTAGACAGTCTTGCTCTGTTGCCCAGGCTGGAGTGCAGTGGCATGATCTCCACTCACTACAACCTCAGCCTCCTGAGCTCAAGCAATTCTTGTACCTCTGCCTCCTACGTATCTGGATTACAGGCATGTGTCACCACACCCAGCTAAATTTTGGCATTTTCAGTAGAGACAGTGTTTTTCACTATGTTGGTCAGGCTGGTGAACTCCTGGCCTCAAGTTATCCACCTGTCTCAGCCTTCCAAAGTGCTGGGATTACAGGTGTGAGCTACCATGCCTGGCCTCCAGCTTTTAAAGTCTTAATCTTACATTAGGAAAGGAGAGCTGCATGGCCAAAGGAGAGTATGGGTTGAAAATGGGACTCAGTGTGTGCCCCATCTTTAGATAAAGATTAGGGGAGTCAGAGGGCCAAGTAAGGGACAAGATTTAGGAGAATTTACTAGGACTCGAGTCTTTGCTGTGGTTTTTGTTGGTGTGATGGTTGGTTTCAGGTGTCAACTTGACTGGATTAAGGATGCTCAGAGAGCTGGGAAAGCAGTATTTATTCTCCATGTTTCAGTATGTACTGAGCTTGTCCCTATTCTGCTTAAAGGGAAACCCAGGTGGTTCAGCATTAAACTAGAATGAATTGTCTGCTCCAGGTGTATCTGTGAGGGTATTTCTGGAGGAGGTTGGGACTGAATGGGGGAAGATTCACCCTCAATATGGGAGGACATGATCTAATCACCTGGGAGCCTGTGTAGAAAAAAAAGGTGGAGGAAGGGGGAACTCTTCCTCTTTCTTTCTTGGAACTGGACACCCATGTTTTCCTGCCCTTGAATGTCAGAACTCCTGGTTCTCCAGCCCTTGGACTCTGAGACTCAAACTAACAGCTTTAGATAGAAATTTACACCATCAGCTGCCCTGCTTCTGAGGTCTTTGGACTTGACTGAGCCATGTTGCAGACTTTCCTGTTTCACAGTTTGCAGACACAGCCTCTCTATGGGAAACATCTCCACTTCCCATAGACAGTTAAGCCAATTCCCCTAATAAATCCCTCTTGATATATCTCTCCAAATGTACTATTGGTCTGTCTCTCTGGAGGACTCTGACTAAAACAGTTGGTCAAATCTCCTTGACGCTCAGCAGCATCTTAGGTGAATGCAGAGACTTTCCACTCCGGCTAGCACAGGACACCTTATTGCCCTCTTGCAGAACAGAAGCCTGTGGCAGCCTCCGCAATATGATGTCTTAAGCTTATCTCAAAGGTTAATGCATGTTCTTTGCCAAGTCTTATGTAGTTCTCAAGAGAGTCTTTATTCTAGAATTTCACTGTGCAGCCTTGTCCTGCTGTAAGGCCCCTAGTGACACACCACCTGTATTAATTTGGAGGTTTCAGTTTCAAGTAATCAAGATACGATTTAAATTGCCTGAAGCCCCAAAGAATAATTTAGTGGATTACCTACAGAAAAGCTCAGGAATACTGTTTCAGGCACAGCTGGATTCAGGGGCTCAAGCAATTTCTTCAGGTTTTGAAGTCAGTCAGTGTCTGTCAGTTTCTCTCTCTCTTGCTTCTCTGCCCCATCTCCATGATTCAGCTCTGCCTTCCTCTAGGCTGACTTCGGTCACCAGCAAGCCCTCTCTATAAGACAGAAAAATGTCTTCTGGAAACTCCAGATTCACAATTTCATAAACCAGCAACAATTGAAAAATATTTTACCTTTCTCAGGGCCTCTAGCAAAATTCTTTGAATTCAGTTTCCCTGGGCCAGCTTAAGTGTAAGTAAGCCTATTCCTGACTCTCTTGCTGTGTCCGGGGTGCTGGAACACACTGATTGGCTAGGCCAGGGCCACATTCCCACTTCTGATTTTGGGGATGGAGCATAAGTGGGATGCAATGGGCTGAATGGGAGAGGTCTTTCCTTAAGGGAAAAAGGGAGCTACACTGGGAAAGAAAAAACAATAGATGTCCTTTCTAATAGTCTTACTGCCCTCATCAGAGGATGGAGCTGCAGAGAGAAGAGGCAGTGCAGGCCATTTTATCAGGGAGAAAGGATGAATCAAGGCATTTTTGCAAATATTGCATAAAAATTGCTTCAGGATAAAACCAGAGAGATGCTAGTATTTTCTTGTGTGACTCATGGTAACGTATGCTTATGTTGGCTGTTCTGTGTCTTCTGCTGTCCTCCATTCTCTGCTACCTCCATCGTGTCCATGACTTTGGCTTCTATGGACTGTGTTACCTGGACTTCCCAGAGCTGTGTCTTCCAAGAGGGCTTGGACAGTGGGAGGCACCCACAGGAGGCTGGAGGTCAGGAGAGGAGAAGTTGGGGTGTTTCTTACCCTAATCTTTTCCTGTGCTGGGCTGCAGGTCAGCAGTGACTGCAGTTCATCAAACCAAGTCCTACCTGGGCATCCCTCTTCTCTAGTTCCTTTGGTTATAAAGTCTGGCTGCCTACTGTTGCTGATACTGAGATTACTCATATTTACTTTTCAGTTCCCTAACCCTGCCCCTGTTAATAGTCCCTTCATTACATTTTCTGTAGAATCACACTGAGTGTGCCTTTTCCTTCCGTCTAAGTCTCAATATTCATCCATAAACATGGCAGAGTTTTTGAGGGATCTTGAAATTTGTCTCCCTCCTTTTCAGGGTCACTAGATGTAAATATCCAAACTAATATGTGTTTATACCTGGTGGAGGAATGGGGAAAAAAGCCTTTTGGAAGATGCGAAGGGAACTGAGGTTATCACAAGATGGACCAGTTCATAAATAAGGAGACAGGAGAGAGGGCTGTAAAACAAACGAGCACACAAAAACTCATTCAGGCATGTTGGGAAGTAACACAATACTTAATCCTGAAGCATCTAGGATCCCAGCTGCTGGATGGGATCCAGTGAGGAGCTGAGCATGTTTTCCAAATTCCAATGGAAATGATCCTCTTAGTGACTGGCCCATGGTTCACTTTTGTTACCTACTGTTTACCGGCCCCATATGATTAGCCTTGGTGGTTTGGAAGAGGGGTCGTAATGACCCTAACATGAGGAACGAGGGGGAGGTGACAGCTTAAGAAGGTAAAGGCAGGAAGGAAGACTCGGTGCTAGGAGGCTGTAGGAAGGAAAAGAGAGTGCATGGAAAGCTAGTCAAGGAGAGAACAAGTTAAGCCTAAACCAGGGATTGGTGGGATCCCCCTGAGAGTTCCTGTAAAAACTGCAATTTGGCTTCCACAGTAGACTTCTGATCCCATGTTTTGTAGATGGGCCATCTGGAGGAGTATTTGAACCCAACTGGCTCAACTCACTCAGCATACTTGGGTTCCTCTGGATTCTGCTGTTTACCCTATGCCACATCAAGGACACTCATCAGACGTGAGTCATGACGATAGTTGTAGTTGGGCAGGCTTGGTTAGGTGAGGCTGTGTAGGGTAAGGGAAAGGACCCTGGGCTAGGACTTTGAAGCTCTTGCATCTGGTTTCTAACACTCAGTTTTGATTTGAGAATAAGTTATTTAACTTGCTGAGTCTCACTGCCCTCAACCATTAAATGGAGGTAATGTGATCTCTACTGTTTTCATCATAGGGTGATTGTGAGGCATGCAATCAGATTTGAACGTGAAAGACTTTATTTGAAAGGTTTAAAAAACATTAACACAGATCATAGTTTCTATTCTCTCACAGTCATTGTTTTGAGGGAAATAAATACAGTTGTCCTTGGTGTACACAGGAATTGGTTCCAGGACTTCTGCATCTACCAATATTTGTACCTACTCAAGTCCCCCTGTTCAGTCCTTCATAACCCTTGGATGCAACAATTGGCTCTCTGTATATGCAGGTTTTACACCCCATGATTGTTAATATTTTTGATCCACATTTGGTTAAAAAAATTCCCCATATAAGGGGACCCAGGCATATCAAACCCATGTTGTTCAAGGGTGAACTGGATATGTACATACCTATCACAGCAATGTGCTGAGTACACAATCAAGGCATGAACACATTTCTAGTGGAACTTGAAGGAAAAGCTCCTGTCCTTGCCCAGGGCAATTAAGGAATACTTCTTAAAGGAAAACAAGACAGATTAAGGAAGGGACGAGCATTTCAGGCAGAAGATGCAGCAAACACAAGGACACAGCAAGGTGTCAAAAGAGAAATAGGTGTGTGAACACTTGGCTGGTGTGCCAGTCAGGAGTTGGACCATATTTACCCATATATGCCAAGCTAAGGAATTTGGAAGGACCAGCATTTTACAAAGTCTCTCCCTAAAAACAGAGACCCTGGGAGACACACTTTGAGAACAGAGTACTGTGATCATTTGTGTTTGGGAAATTACCCCCCTTTGTGAATTTCTTAAAGATTTACAGTGTGAATTAGCATATTAAAAGATCTTAGAAGCACTAAGGTGAAAAGAATAGCCTGCTTAATTTTGTTTTATCCAATTTTGTCTATTCTTATTTAAACATCTAGCTCTTTCAAAAAGGAGACAAACTTTTTTTTTTTTTTTTTAACAACTCTTGGAATTAATGATCCCCAGGGCTCATTTTGGGGAGATAGTGAAGAGAGATTATGGTAAAGGAATAATGTGCTTATATCTGGGTTTCAGAATAATCATTCTAAGGGTCAATGTGGACAGGATTGATTAGGGGGGGAAATTAGGGCACTGGGGGACCAATGAAAAGGTTTCAATGGTAATGCTAAGGCAATAGCAAGGAGAATGATGAAAAGGAACCAGACATTTAAGAGAGAATTAACCATTTGGTATTTGACTGACAGATTATGAAGAGATAGTGGGCTATGAACTCAAACACATTTTAAAAGTTATTAAGCATACTGTATAACAACAATGCTGATTGAGTGCATATTATGTGCAAGGCAGTATTCTAAATGTTAGTAATATAACCTAATCTTTGTAAAAACCCTATCATGGAGGTGCTATCACTTTACAGATATAAAACAGTTACATAGAGGCATAATCTATGCCCAATCTCACATAGTTAATAAGTATAGGCATTGACAAACTATTGTCCATGGACCAAATTTGGTCAGTCACTTTGTTTCGTACGGCTTGAGAATGAGGAGTGGTTCTTTAACATTTTTAAATGGTTGGGGAAATAGTATTAAGAAGGTAACATTTCATCATGTGAAAATTATATGAAATTTAAATTTCCATGAATAAGATTTTATTGGAAGACAGTACAATTTTTGTATATTTATTGGCTGCTTTTGTGCTGCAGCAGTAGAGTTCTGTAGTTGTGACAGAGACCTCACAGACTGCCAAGCTGAAAATATTGACTATCAGGTTCTTTACAGAAAAAGTTTGCAGATGCCTGAATAAGTGGCGCACAGCCAGGATTCAAATCTGAGATTCAAAGGTCAGGTTTTATGAAGTCAAAAACCATGTAGGGCCTGGAAATGCATGCGTAAGGCCTGGTGTGCCTTCGGAGAGCTCAGATTGCCAAGAGATGAGTCACTAAGCAGTTGATCCAGTGTGGCCGTTGTTACAATGGTGGGAAACATGGAGCAGTATCTCAGGTTCTGAGAAATGGTACCTCAGTGGGGCTAGGGGAAGAAGGGGGCAGGATGTGCCAAGGAAGTTTAGTCCTGAAGGTCATGAAAAGATGAAGTGCTGTGCCAGATGATATTATAGTGGAAAGCTTTCCCTGTGGCCTGTTGCTGCTGCCACACATTGCTAGCTCCTTGGCTAAAGAGGGAGACCAGCATTCAGAAGGAACACCTTGTGTGAGGAAACAGAATAGATTGCGTTTGGATGTTTAATATCATGTTCTCGGGGAAAACAGGCTTCTTGTGTTAAAATAGAAATTGAAAGTGGTCTCTGGGAGCTTTTCCAGGTTTGTTTAATAGGAGCAAGCTGGTGATAGAACTGACACGAAGACAATTTCTTCCATTCAGGGCTGTGGTGAGCAGCTTTCCTACAGAAACGCTTTTCATCCCAGTACCTTGATCAGATCCATTTTGCTTCCAGCTGGGAAGAGGCTGAAGTTTAAGTGCACCTGCCCACTGTGTTCTGGGGAGAACAGATGTTGTCAGTCTCCTCCACAGGCTCTTTTTGAATTGTCCCTGGTGCTCCTAGAAACTGTTCCCTATCAGTGGCAGATAACAAACATCTGAAAACCAATGCTTTCATTATATTCATTATGATGTGTCCCACCAACCCTTAGACAGCTCAGTTTGCCTCTTATGCCAGTGCCCATCCTAGAAATCAGGCACAACATGAAAGGAGAAATGACATGCACCTGCCATGCTATGCTCACTCAAGAAATTGTTGTGTCCGTGACACAGGGATATCTCATTAGTGTTGTATTCTGCATAGCCAAGTTTGCTTAAAAAGAGCATGAGAGAGCTGGAAATGGCTTTCTGCTTGTTGACTGCATCATAAGAATTGAACCTTTTGTTTTCCGATTCAGTCACTATTCCTTGGGTGCCTACTTTACCTATCCAGGCAATAGGGACACCATGGTGTTCCAAACCCAGCATAGTACCTGACACCAGGAAGCAGTGTATGGTGTCAAGGGGGCAGAGATGTCAACCACATAGTCATGCAGTCAAATCTGAGTCTTGTCTGTGGCCAGCTCTATGTAGAAGAGGTTTGTATGCTAAGGGGGCAGGTAACAGGAGAATTTGGTCTAGTCAGCATGGGTAGAATTTGACGAATTGAGGAACTGTCTAAGATTTAAGATGAGCATGAGTTACCCAGGTGGCAAAAAGGAGTAGGAGAGTTCCAGGCAGAAGAAACCACGTTGGCTTTCCGGCTACTAAGCAGGTTTACCTGGCTCAGTAGCTCATAGATGGCTAATTTTAAAAGCCAAGGATTTTTCTCCTCTTCCACAGGTCCAACTGGACACTGCCATGTGCTTAATGTGAATTTATTTATGTATTATTTGACTTAATTTGGCTCATTAAGCCGACAGCCTTTATTGACACCTATGTGCCATATAGGAATACTGAAGTGGAAACCCATCATCATGGTCACCATCCCCAAAGCTACCATCTTACTGGACTCCTACTTGGGATCTACGCAGACCTGCGTGTGATTTCCAAATGAGGTCTGTGGCCTGGGCCAGAAACTTCCTCTCTCTGAGATTCAGTTCCTAATCTGTTGAAAAATAAACAGGCTAGTGATATTTGTTTAATCTGGTTATCATGAAGATTAAGTAACATATAGTGAGGTGCAGCACAGTTCCTGGAAGCAGACACTTAATGATTTCTGTTGATTGAATAATGGCGTTTGTCTTGAACAAGTCCTGGGCTTGAGAGTCCAGCCTAATTTTAGTTTATGCGTGGATCATAAGATTTTAAAAAACTTTCTACCTACCAATTCTGGTCTCATACCCAGAAACAAATATGTCACCTAATAACCTTCAGTCATTTTTTTCTCTGGCCAAAGCATAAATGCATTATTAAAGAATTATTTATATATTTGTAACAGTTGTATAATGATTACTACAGCTAGGTGCTAGAGAAAAAATGTAAAGTTTTTTTATACTGTTACAATCTGTGAGTTTTAAAATTGATTGATGATTAGAGAACTTATGAAAACTGCCAGTTATTTTTTTACGTGGACACTTGACAAAGGAAATGTATGTATAGCTCTGTCATTTTTCAATTTTGTATGTTATTTTGACAAATTCTATCCAAATATTATTTCTTTTAATGTTTATTGTGACATCAGTACTGCCCACAGGACACCTATAATGCTTCATTAGAAAACACGCATCAGCGATGGAACCATGTATTTTGCTATTTGATTCCTCCCAAACCTGAAATAACATTGTCAAGGCACTCATCTGCAGAATGTATCACATCCCTTTATTGTGTTTCAGAGAACTGAGGGAAATGAAAGCTACAAATGAGGCTAGCAATCTTGTGAGTAAAGCGAGCAGGGAAACAGGGCACAGAGGGAAGATTTCCAGAACTTGAAGGCCCATCTATCTGATGTCAGGTTGCATGAGTTGGAATCATGAGGCTGACAGAAAGTGAAACAATGAATGGAAAGTCTCCTATGAGGTCAATCCTTTCCTCTCCAACTCCACCCAGGTCACCCCCACATCCCCATTTCTCATCAGAAATTGGCAGTTGATG